TTAGCATCATTCCCATGAGAAAATTTTTTCAGATGAGGAAACTGAGACACAGTAGTGATGTGACTTACCCAAGTCACACTCCCAGTGAGTGCACAGAGCTGGCACCCCGATCCCAACAACCTGCTTCAGAGCCTGCCTTCACTTCCAGGCTTGTCCTTACGCAGTGTCTGTGGGAAAGCCCTTCCCGTGTTCTCGAGGCCAGCGTTCAGTGGCTGTTTCTTAACTTTGACTGTCATCTAGCATAGTATTCCTGAGACCACAGGCCCGATGGGATGATCGGATAAACTTTTGTTGACGCCTCTAAGACCAATATCTAATTTCCACAGTCCACCCACTTATAAATGATCCCAAGGAATTCCAGATGTCACCGGCCCGCCCTGAACACAGTTTGGGAAATGCTGGTTCTGGGAAAAAAAGAGAAAGACCCGTCTTCGATTGGTGGGCTCCTGCCCTGTCCTGGTCCCCACACCGCGACCTTCAGACTGCGGAGCCCCTGGGGCCTGGCAGGGTGACAAGAGAACCCAGGCCCTCAGGTCGAGCTGAGCCAGGTTCACTGAACCACGTTCCGTCCCCGCCTGCCACTCACCAGCCACGGGACCTGAGCAGGTAGAGCTGTTGTCCCCACAGCCCTGTCCTTTCCAAAATGGAGCCACAGCTCCAGGTGGGGCTGGAGTGAGGGAGGGCACTCACAAGCCCCCAGCTCGGTGGCCTCAGGGGGGACCAACCCCAGTCTGGGTTGCTGTCTGGGTCCCATGCAGCCCCGCCACCCACGCCGTGTTCCAGGGATGAACGCGGGGCCCTGACGGAGGTGGAGAGATTCCCCGGAGCCCGGCAGGACGTGTCCCCGGGGAGGCCATGTTGTGCCCAGTGTGTGAATCTTCCTTTCCAATCCCCAGAGGGGACCTGTCCCACTCGCTCAGACGTGGCGCCTGCAGAGCCTTGGAGAACTTCCCTGATGCTCCCGAGCAGAGGCCGCTTTATTTTTTTGGAGAAAAGCAAAGAGAAGCCGTGCGCACAACACTCCCTTCACCTAATTACAGGAACCGTCAGGACCAATTTGGCAGCTATTAAAACACTAGTGGCCTCTCGCCGGCTCCTCGCAGCAGGGGCTGGAGTCCAAATTGGCTGCTGAAGGCTGGGGAAGAGGACAGAAGGTCAAGGCTGCCATTAGGCGCTGGGCGGAAAGAAAAGCAGAGGCACCCCGTGGCCTCCTCCGCATCTCCCTGCCTGCCTCTGTGCCCCTCCATCTTTCTGTCTTTCAAGCTCTCTGGCGGCATCGTTTCTTCCACAAGGACTGTGCCAGAAGCACAGACTCTTAGAACAGGGAGGGGCTTTGCAGACCACCCCTCCAACTCCCTTGTTTATTAGAGAGAGAAAATAAAGCTCAGAGAAGCACAGCGGCTGCCTTAAAATCACACAGCATGTCGAGGAAGGTAGGGCTGGGGCTCAAAGAGGCTTCACTAATGGGAAGGATGAGTTTGGCTTCTGTGAACACCCTGGGCCCAGGTCCCAGCCCTGACTGAGCTGAGTGAACTCAATCAAATCACTTCATCTCTCTGAGTCTCAGTTTCCTTATCTGTGAAATGAGGTCACTTATTTAGCTGACAGTAGTCACTACCCAGAGCCAGAAAATTAGACAAACACAGAAGAAAACAAAAACCAATAGAGAGTCTGGGGTGGAGGGTGTTGTCTCAATGGCTTGATTCAGCCATACCTGAAGACAGACCAGTGTTTCAGTTACCTGGTTTAATAACTTTCTTTACCCAAAAGCAAGTTTGAACTGGGTTTTTGTCATTTTCCACCAAATAGTTCTTGCTAACACACACCAGTAGGGCCCAGCTCTGCACCCTTGGGAGAGGTGAGGGAAGTCAGGCTGGGGCACCTTGTTGATGCAGAAAGTGAGGGCCTGGCGGAGAGGAGAAAGGCAGAGGACAGCTCTTGGTGCACTTCGCTATTGAGTTACTACTAACCTCCTGCCTCATTCAGGTAAGGCGGGGACCCCAGCAGGCCTCAGGGGCACGAGGGGGACTTATGAGCTACTCTGTCCCGAGGGCTCTGGGCTCCTGGGGTTTGGAGGCAGGTACCAGCCACATCTCACCCTGCCCCCTGCCATCTGGGTACCAATTGTCAACTGCTGACGTGCAGCTGTCACACAGGACAACTCACCCCTCAGGCACAATTCTGGTGTATAACCCTCCTTTCTGTCTCCCAGAAACATTTTAGTTCTGTACTTATCACGACAATGACATCACCCTTGACATTGCCACCACTATCATCATCATCATCATCACCACCATCACCATCACCACCACCATCACCACCATCACCATCACCACCACCATCACCACCATCACCACCATCACCATCACCATCACCACCATCATCACCACCATCACCACCATCACCACCACCATCACCACCATCACCATCACCATCACCACCATCATCACCACCATCACCATCACCATCACCATCACCATCA